GAGGAAAATAGAAAGCTCACGGCTGAAATCAGAAATCACAAGATGAATTCATCACTTGTCCAAAGACACTCAGCTGCTAAAAGAAGTCGTACTCTTAGAGGGCTGTTGAGGAGGAAGTAAGTCAGGGTGTTTCCAGTACATGACTGCTGGGGAGTCAGACAGGCTAGTCCCACAAGTTGCTTAACTGTCCGTGAACCCTGAGCCCACAACTTCAAGGCTCGGCAGCTTCGTCCTTCATGGCACCAAACCTTGATATTAGGGATGCAAAGACACACTCATAAGAATCATGGGTTTGCTCTCACTCAAAATTTGGGGGACTGGCTGAAAACAAAACAGGGAGACCTTATCTCTAGGTGAAAGGGATTCTGTGTTAACTGTCAATTAAATCAACATATAAAATACATAAAAGAGATATGGTACAGAAGAGCATCAGGGTCAAACATTTAAAACCAGATTAAACTAAACTGTAAAGAGAACCAAATGGCTTTTACCTCTGTAAAAAAAAAAGAACATGAGTGCATGGATTGTCTCTTCATGTAGAGAAACTGATGTACCTTTTGCCATGGTTGGTTGAGTAGTAAATTACTGAGAATGTGGGGCTGTGATGAGACTCTCAAAGTGTGCATGTAAAGTCAGGGAAACTTTGTAAGTCATGGAAGAAGCATAAGTGGGAGGCCCTGGGATAATCTTGATGCTATTCCAGGGTTGTCTCTGCAGTGCAGGGACCCCAGTTTCACCATGGGCCTCACCAGAGAGTCTTTCTGTGGAGCATTTCTTCATTTCCATACTGTGTTTCTGTCATGTGAATGAGCTGGAGTAAAAGCTAAGTCCTTTCCTCTGATTCACTTTTGTCATTTTTAAAAGACACCATCAGACTTGGTGACAGGGGTGGTTAAAAGAAAGGACTTCTATTTTTCAAAAAACAATTTTTTTTTAAATAGAAGACTGGATGATGAGGTAAATGAAGTTTGCTTTTCCTTGGATAGAGACCCTTCCTCCTACCCTTATCCCCTTTTGACCGTTGCAAATTAGCCTAGTCCAAGGAAAGGGGAGAAGACAAATGAGTGAAATAATGCCAGAGTCGGCTGTTGCCAGGAAAAACACACTCTGATTCAGTTAATTTGTTCTGTTAATGTCAAAGGCTGTGATTCCCAATTAGCTAATTTTAAGAAGCTATAACCGAAAATAGTTACATCAGCCCTGAAGTTAGTGTTTGGTGAAGATTAGGATCTTCAAGTAAGAGAATAGGGCCCCTAAAGAGGTACTGATGTCTGTTTAAGATCATGTTGCTCAACAAGGACACGACTGGCTGGGATTTTCCAACTGGGTTTCAGCCGCTTCAGAGAAGTTGATAGAGGTGAGAGGGGAGGGGACACACCAAACATTCCAGCAACAGAGAATGTTCCACAAATCAGATTTGCGTAAACTTTCTAATGGCAGAAGCATACGTGCTGGTGAGGCTCTTTGGGATAGAGATGCTCCCCTAGTTCAGGAGGAGTTAATTAAAACAGGCATGTAGTTTGCAATATTTCTAGCCCTCACTGAAAATCTCCATGCACATAAACCAGAGCAGCTTGAGCAGCTGAGAAAAACTGGGCCAAAAACCACTCCACCAGCCTCTCTCCTTCCTCGTCCTTTACATTGGAATGGAAAGATATAAAAATCATTTTTTTTTAAAAAGCAGAACACTCATGGTTTCTGTACAATTGCAGGTGCTTTCATTACATCTGAATAGGGTTACAATAAATCTACGCTCTTAAAAGTGAAGATCACGACTTGCTAATGAAATCACAAATTATCCAGAAGAAAACTGTGCACAGGCACATGCTGAGTGGCAGAATCTTTTGCCTCTAAAAGTTCAGTTTTTGCCTTTGTAATATTAAAGCCCAGCAGGGAGCTGGCAGGACACTGCTTGTGCTGTCTTGTCACGTTATGAGTTTCTGGTTTCAGATAAAAGGGGAGAAAGGGCCTTTAAGAAAGCAAAAAACTGGAGAAAAAATTAAACTTCCTTCTCAGAAACCTAAGGGTTGTTTTTCTGGAGATGATGGATAATGGCATTTCGAGTTATTTTAGTTTTTAATAGAGAAAATGGAGGCAAGTCATGGAGGGAAAAGAGAGTATATAAATAAATAGAACAAGGTGAAGTTTCAACAAGAGCTTCCCTCAACTTTTCTTTCTTTCTTTCTATCTTTGTCTCTCTTTCCTTTTCTCTCTTTCTTTTCTTGAAATCTTAAACCCTATTTCTGGCTTGCATTTGGTAGGATTCCTGCCCTGGCTTTTATTAAAAACAGACTTTACGTGGTCAGAATTCTCCATCTAAAGCTAAATTTTAATAGGCATAAGGATCCTAACAAAGTCTTTCTTGCTCTCTCTCAGGTGACCCCCCCCCTCGTCCCCCAAGGATTTCCCTCCCAGTGCACTGAACTGGCGCTGAAACTGGAAGCCTCAGCAAAAACCACCAATTTTCCTCTTTTACTCTGAACCCTCATTTCTGTTTTACTTTTGAGACTCTTTGCAAGGTCAGATCAAGTTAAGTCTGGCTCTAACCTGAGAATACTCCAGAAATTTTGAATAACACGCTGTTGTCCTATAAATTCCCCAAAGCAGGTGCCTGAAACCTGGCAGTTTCCCTTCTCCAGCAGAGGCTCCAGAGCCTGATTCCTGCTCGCTACCTTGTGTGTGTGTGAGCTGGGAAATACCAAGGGCGACTCCCCCTGGCTTAACAAATCAATTTAGTATTCAACAGTTATCTCTGAAGGGTATTGGCAAGCCAGCTTATCTGAAACCCAGAGGTAAAGCAGCCAAGCGAGCAGGCAAAGACATGCACTTTCATTCTCGAAGACAGGTGCCATCAGGTTGCTCTAGTTCCTTCTTATAGCTAAACAGACAAAATAGCCCACTTTAAGGCTCCTGTATGGGACTCCCGTCTTCCCACGCTTAACACCCCCCCACCCCGCCCCACCAATGGCCTCCACACCTTCTTGGCACAACTGCAGATCCTTTCCCAGTCAGTTTTAAGTTTCCTAAAACAATAACTTAATCTTGTGTGTGGTGAGGCTCAATGCTGACCTTTATGCTCGTTTACATAGAAGGGACAGTCTTTTGAATACTGCAGTGCAGTGGTTCTCCAGGCGAGGGTCCTCAAGCCTTCTCAACCCTAACCCTAACCTCTCCCTGCATCCCCCCGCCCCCCCCCCCCCCCCCCCCCCCCCCCCCCCCCCCCCCC